GTACTTGTGTAATTGTAAAAGTGAAAATTAAAAATAGCCTTAAAAAAGAGTTGATAAAATAAGAAATTTGTTGAAAAAGGAAAGAGAAAAAAATTTAAAAAAATTAGAACTGAAAGACTAAAGAATCATGGGGGAAAAAAGCCATGAGTTCTGTGTTCTGTATTCTCCTAGCTCTGGAGTTGTGCAGTTCTCATCTCTCTCTACCCCTGTGGATCTTCTGGGGTAGGGGCCTGTTGCTTTGATTCTCCAGTGCATTTTCCCCAGGTGGAATTGCACTGCCCTTGCCAGGGGGCCAGGCTAAGTAATCTGCTCTGGTTTGCTATATGTGGCTTATGTTCCCTGAAGGCTTTCCTCGCAGCTTTAGAGGATGAGACTGAAAACATGAGTTTGGGGCCCCACTCTTCACTGACCCCTCAGAGAAAAGCAGTCACTTGCTCCTTTCTCCCTGGTCTCCGGCTGCCTTCCATGCTCACCCAGCTTGTGACCAAGTATTTTTGTCACAGGCACTCCACCCTATTTTGAGTCTCCAAACCCTACAGACTCCTGCAGCACTCTCCCACACTGATCCTCTTGGTGGAGGAAGGGGGTTCTCCCCGGTTCTGCCGTTTGTTGTGCCCCTGCTTGGACAGCAGTAGCCTGACAGTGCCATGGTTCGGTTTATGGCATCCCTGGCTACTCTGATGCCTGGGAGCTCTGCCGCACTCATGCACCCCTGGTCTTCCTGTGACCCCGAGGGTCCTGAGACCACCCTGTCCTACCTAGGATTCCGCTTCTGCTTCACTGCCTGAGCCAGCTTACGGAGGCTCCCCCACTCCTTGGTTTATCTCCCCACATATTGCTTCAGATTCACTTCTCCACACTTCCTGCCTTGCGGAAAGCGGTCGATTTTCTATTTGTAGAGTTGCAGCTATTCTTTTCTTAGATCTCCAGTTAGAGATCTCCAGTTCATAATAATCTGATAGCTATCTAGTTGAATTCCTGGGACCAGATGAAACTAAGGTCTCCTAGTCTTCCGCCATCTTGGACTCCTCTCCAGATGTTAAATATTTTAAGAAGTGGAAGTCTTTAGTATTTTACCTTCTAAAGTTAACAGACCAATCTATTTGAAGTCTGTTCTTCTACCTCCTGTTTTTTTCTGTGCACAAATAATATTAGTTATTATTAGAATACAATGTTAATATTTTGAAAAAGTGGGGTGCTGTTTTTAATTTAATTTTAAAAATTCAATAATACATTTTTAATATTTTTCCAGAAAGCTAAAATGTACCAATTTGGGAAGAGACTCATTTCTTACATAGCTTTATCTTTTTTGGTTCTTTTCTTCATTTATTCTTTACTTCCATCTTTTCTTTTACTTTTTTTTTTTTCTATGTTAGCCTCTATTATCCTCTTCCTCTATAACCTGATTTCTTTCTTATATTTTCTTCATTCTTGGGAGTGAAGTTTTCAGATCTTTTCTTCTTTGTCAAGTAGGGGGATCAGCTTCTAGAACATACACATTTAGTTAGTTACCCTTGTCAAATGTGGTTGTTTTGACAAATGTGGTTATTTATGAAAACCCTTCATTTGAAAAATAAGGCTCTCTGATAGGATCATAGTTATTCATTTCTTTCAGTGACCTCATTTATTCACTCAGTCAAGTATTTATCGAGTCTCTATTGGACACTGTGCTAAGTGTTGGAGAGCAAAGTAGTGATAAAAACAGATGTAGTTTTAGGCCTTTGATGGATCTTATAATCTTAAGATAGGACAGACTTAGGACTAAGTGTTATCCACTTAAATTTAAAATTCACTTAAAAAGCAATTTTAAAGAACCCAGGAAGAGTAGCTGTAAGAAATACCCACTGCCATCACACAGACATTGCACCCCTGGCAGGATATCCTTGTCTTCCCCAAGGACTGAGTTTCCTGCCGTGTTGGGGAAAGTGCCTGGAAACTTGCTCTCTGAAACTTACTGGAACTTACCCTCTGATGTGATGGGGAAGCTCTTCATGGGAGAGTGTCTCCCTGAATGCGTTCTGCTGTGAAACTCACTGAAGGGGGTTTTTAGGGAAAGGATGGCTGTCGGATGCTGTTGGTACTTGTGCACAGCATGCACCTGGTTTTGGGGGGAGTCGCACCACTGTAGGATATTGCTGAGTGAGCACGCTGACACCAGGAAGCAACATCTTTTCTTCCTGCAGTGTCTCCCCAGGGTTTCCTATCTCCTTCAGTATTAATTTGCAACAGAAAAGGATTGAAAAGGTTCAGATCTACATTGACAAGGCAGACACATGAGTGAATTTGGAGCTGATGGGGGAAACAAACTGCTAACGGACTCTGATGCTGTGAAGGAAATGAGAATAATGGGTATCTTCATATAGTTTTGGTGACAGGATCAGAGAATAGCTCTTTGAAAAAGTAACATTAAGACCAGATGTGTGTGTAGGACCCACCCAGCTGAAGAGTATGAAGAAGAATCTTCAAAGCTGTGATAAACTGTGAGGGTCCCAGCCTGGGACAGAATTGGGTGATTTTGGCAGCTACAGAAGGCTAGGTTGGTTCTAATGTAGTAAGCGAGGGGAAGTGGAATGATGTTAAAAAGGCAGGCATAGTGTTGGTAAAATAAGACTTTGAAAGTCATATTAAACAATTAGGATTTTGTTCTCAGTGCAGTGGGAAGTAGAAGAGAGACAGAGTAGACTTAAATCCAAACCCAATTATTCAACGTCCCCCTCTTCCATTAAGAAACAAACTAGACAGATCAATGTCTCCTGGCATCCAGGAAGCTCTTTGAAAGTAAGCCCTAAGGTAAGACTTTCAGGCAGTACAGGACTTGGATTTATAGAGTCAGGAATACATGACACAAATTATTTTTTTAAAATTTTTTAAGATTTTATTTTATTTCTTTGACAGAGACATAGCAAGAGCAGGAACACAAGCAGGGGGAGGGGCAGAGGCAGAGGCAGAGGGAGCAGCAGGCTTCCCGTGGAGCAGGGAGCCCGATGCGGGGCTCCATCCCAGGACCCCGGGATCATGAGTTGAAGGCAGTCACTTAACGACTGAGCCACCCAGGCACCCCGAGACATTATTTTGATTGAGGAAGTCTTACAGTGGAGATGGAAATGAAGATAGAAAAATGCTTACCGGTGAGACTGAGAATCTTGAATGCCAGATTGTCCTTTCTGGCTGCTGCTTGGGACTCTCCTACCTGTCATACCATACAAATTAACTTGAGTAAAACCATGTTGTCTGTGTTTGAATACAGATCATTTGGGGGGAAAAAATTAACAACTATGCTTTGAGTCAGTTCTGTACTTAAGTTTCAAGCTTATTGAATGTTTCATAGAACTTGATTTTTTAGATATGTATGTCCCTGGTTTTACCCAAATTGAGTTTGTGGGTTAGAAACATTTCTTTGAGGAACCATTACAATTTTGTACTCAGTTATATTGAATTAGGAGTGTACACAGACATTGATTAACAAATTACATTATGTTGAAAATATTTTCTCAAGTTATTTTTAAAATTAATGCATCACATTATTTTCAATTTAAATTTCCTGCAGGTCTACTGTATATTATTGAAACACAGAAAGTTCTTGATCTCAAAATTAATTTGAAGGCTTCATATGTTATTATCCCACAAGGTGGAATATTTAGCCCTACATCAAATCTACTACTTTTGGATCTTGGTCATCTAAAGGTATATACTAACATTTGCCCTATATTATGATATTTAAAGGTGTTTCTCTGTTTAAGATGCATTTTGTTTTTTAAACAGTTTGATTTGCTATTGTGATTATTAGCTTTATGGTATACCGATTGTAGGATTTGAAAATTCTTTCTTTCTAGTAAATAATGTTAAGTTTCATTTAACCAGGTAGTTTTTCTACATTTCTGATACCAAAATGATCATTCTTAACTCTGCAGGTTAGGGGTGAACCTAGGAATTATATTTATAGAATTTGACAGTATTGTTTGAGGAGATTATTTCCTTTTCAATGTAAAATTACTACTTGACTAATTAAAATACATCAAATAGTGGGGGATTCTGGAAATAATAAGATCTTCATCCTTCTGAAATTTTTTGTGTATGTAACTGTAGATACTGACATTTTAATATCTGTTAGGTAAACATAACTTGAGAGACAATCTGATTGAATTTACCTAAGCATTTCCCTTTCCATCCAATTATGTACATTTTTCTTCCTCAGTTTTGAGTAGAGAATCATTTTTTTCTGTGTTTCTAGATCTGCACAGTTTTATGTGGTACCACTGGCTACATGTGTTTATACTGATTAAAATTAACATATAAAATTAGTTCTTTAGTCACATTAGTCACATTCAGGAATTTAACAGTCATAAGTGCCTTGGGGCTGCTATTTCAGCCCAGAGAAACAGTGCCATCCTTGTAGAAAGTTCTGTGGGACTGCTCTAGATCGTTAAATGTATATTAAATAGCTATAAGAATTTTAAAGATCCAAGAAGGATAGGTAATATTGGAAAGCTTTTCTAGCTACCTAACAAATATGTGCCTTTCCTTGATATTGACATTATTCTTTATTCTTTGTTTTTACTCTTCAGTTCATAATTACATAAATGCTTGCTGAATTTAGGTTTATAATAAAATTTATACAGTTATTCATATTTGACTATAGAATTGTTTCAAGGGCAGTGTGGTTTGGTAGCAGGAGCATAACGTCACGGATAAGGTATCTATCTAGTTTTGTGACCTTAGGCAGTTTGTTTAACCTTTTATCTAACATTCATTACCCTTCAGAGATAATCAGTTTTGACAGTTTGCTGCACCTGAGCTATATGAAATAGAAGTGGAAATGTTAAGGCATGTGCGTGCATGCACACACACACACATGAATGAGTAAGATCTTTATATACTGTGGTGGAGTGATTGATCTCCAGGATGTTTAAGTGAAAAAAGTAGTATGTATAGTATGCCTGTATAGTATGCCACGAAGGAGATGGTACAAATATAACTTCTCTGAGGTTGTCTAAATGGCGGAGTTGGGACTACACTTTAGCTATCCTAATATTTAATTCTGGATTCTTCTTCTCATAAAACTATCAAAATATCTGTCATCATGACATAGAAATATTTTGTAGGCTCTGTTTGTCTCTTATCAGATAAAAAAAGGTTCAAATGTATTGTTCTCCAGGGCTGGCTTGGTTTCCCTCTTTTAATTACGTAATTGAGAAATATAACTTAGTATGTAAAAATTCACTTTGTCCCTGGTCTTCTCGTTATACATGTTATGGATAAAGACATTTCTATTAGCCTTACATGTCAGCTTGTGAGTCTGTCTTATCTTCTATTGAGTTTTTGTGTTAGAGTCTTAAAAGATAAAAATTTGTATTTTTATTTTGAAGTATTTTGCATCATCTAAACTGTTAAAATTAACTTAAGGTGACAAGTAAAAGTCGTTCAGAATTGCCAGATATGAAACCAGGTGGGGCCAGACTTGAAGAGATCATGCATAGAGCTTATGATTCCTTTGATGTTCAGCTTACAAGCATACAGCTGCTTTACAGCACAGTTGGTAAGTATATAATGCATTCTTTATTGATTCATGTTGCTGAAATGATTAACTAGGTTTTTAGACAGTTTCTCTGAAGACCTTCATCCCAAATATATTAAAACTTTTATATTTTTGGGACACCTGGGTGGCTCAGTTGGTTAAGCGTCTGCCTTCGGCTCAGGTCATGATCTCAGGGTTCTGGGATTGAGTCCTGTGTTGGGCTCCTTGCTCGGTGGGGAGTCTACTTCTCCCTCAGCCCCTCCCCCTTCCTCTCCCTATTCTCTTTCTCGTTCTCACGTAAATAAGTAAAATCTTTGAAACAAAAAACATATTTTTGAATTAGAAGTAATAGTAGGTAGTGTCTAGGAGCAATATCTCAGATATTTGATTTTACTGCTCAAGAGACTTTGTCAATGTCTGGAGACATTTTTGATTGTCACAGGTGAGGAGTAGGAGCATTACTAGCATCTAGTGAGTGGAAGTCAGGGATGCTGCTAAACGTCATACAGTGTAGAGGAAAGCCACCTTACAACACTTATTTGGCCCAAATATCAATGGTGCTAAAATTGAGAAATTCTTTGGACAAGGTTGGAAAACATTGGCACATATTTAAAATATTTGTTTTATACATGATAATCAGAAGAGGCTGCTCACAGCCAGAGGCATTCCATCCTGGGGCCTCTGACCCTCTGGGCCATAAACAGCCACACAAAGACCAAGGAAGATGTTAGGATTGAGGAGGGTATCACAGGCATACTTTTACCCCATTCACTTTTGATGGAGTCTCTGATTCAGATCTAGTTTTTCGATGAAGTAAACAGAGCCAGAAATTGACTTGTCAGGAGCCAAAGTAGATAGAGATTTGAGACTAGTTGAGCCCTCTTTCTGCTGTGTCATACTGTTTCTGAATCCCTGGTGTGTTAGTAAACATAAACATTTAGATAATTCAATAGCGTTGGATTGGTGGATGTTTTAGAGATCTGTGTGTATATGGTCAAATTTTAATTATCTGAGCTAACCAATAAAAAACAATGAGAACCCAAAGTAATGGTTATTAAAAGTGTTAAATTATATATTTCTGGGACATTTTTATTTTCTTTATATCTGTTTTAGGATAATAAACTTGATTTCTGTTTTTATCATATTCTAGTTGGTGTAGGAAAAGCCCAGAAGTATAGTGGGTGGCAAATAACAAATTATTTATAGAAAACCCATAATTTTTTTTTCAAAGAATAAATAACAGTATTGTGGTATGTTTGGTACATTTTGGTCATTATTTTTGAAGTCCATGAAGTATACTTAATATTTAAGATATTGAGATGCTTTGTGAAGAAAAATTTAAAAGTATTCCATTATTGTCTGAAAATTATTGAAATTCCTTAGAATTGTTTTTATAAGTGTTAACTGTTCTTAAATAATTGAATCTTTTTTAGAGCAATGTATTTTTGACATTGGGGTTACTTTAGGTAATTGTCATAAACTCTTGATAAATACTGAGAATAGAAGGAAATATTTCATTAATCCTGATACTGTTAGAATTTTGAAAATTATTACAGTAGAGTTCATTTTACTACCTTTTTCTGCATCTAATCTTTCTTTGGCTTGGTCTTCCTTGATTGAGGACTTCTTACTCAGAATTATTAGGCTCAAATGAGGTGTAATGTATATGAAGATGCATTGTATCACACAAATTTTATGTTAGCAGATCTGCATGTAAATTTCGGCTTGTATCAGACACTAGCCCTTTGATCATAAGCAAATTAAAAGTTCCTGAGTTTCAGTTTTCTAAAATGAGATGATTAAACATCATTGTGAGAACTAGAATTTAAATACTGCCTAGAACAATGCCTATTACAAATCTCGAATAATTGGTAGCTTTTATTGATACAGAAGAACTGTGCTTTTATCTCCTTTTTTCATTATTGCCTTAGAGCCATGTTGTTTTTTTGGGTAAAGTATCTGCTGGGTGTAGTGGCGGTAAATGGATGCACAGTAGATTTGATTAAACTGTGTTGTTGGTTTTTTAATAAGCCTTTTCTTATTGAAACAGAGAGTCTTTGAAGCAGCAAAAGGAGTGAAAGGGAAATGACTTTACCTGCTCATTGTGTGACCTGGGAAGATGGCATTAAGATTATCTAGATGTAGGAAGATTTTTCCATACCATGCAGTATATGACTACAAAGTATTAGTGGTGATTTTAGGTTTAATGTGTTTTTCAAATTATATGTGTGCTAAATAAACATGTATTGTTTTCCATAATTAGGCGATGATTGGAGAGAAGCACGAAAACTCAATGTATCTACACAGCATATTTTGGTACCTATGCACTTCAATGTGGAGCTCTCTAAGGCCATGGTTTTCATGGATATAAGGATGCCCAAGTATGTATTGTCTCTTTCGTGAGATTGTAGATTTTCTAAGGAAATACCATATTTCACTGATTTTTTTTTTTGTGGTAAAATATATGTAACATAAACTTTATTTTTAAGTGTATAATTCAGTGGCATTAAGTACATTCACATCCATCACCATCCATCTCCATAACTGTCATCTTCCCAAACTGAAACTGTACTCGTAAAATAATAATTCCCCACTCCCCCAGCCCATGGCAATCATAATTGATTATGTTATCTCTCTATAAATCTGGCTACTCTGGGTACCTTACGTAAATGGAACCATGCAATGTTTGTCCTTCTGTGAGTTATTGTACATAGCATAATGCCTTCAAGGTTTATCCATATTGTAGCATATACCAGAAATTCGTTTGTTTTTAAGGCTGAAAAATATTCCACTGCATATATTTAGATCACATTTTGTTTATCTCTTCATCTGTCAATGGACGTTTGGATCATTCCAATGAAATTTAGCTGGTGTAATAGTGCTGCTGTGAAGATTGATATACAAATATCTGTTCAAGTCCTTGCTCTAAATTTTTCTGTTTATATATTCAGAAGCGGAATTTCTGGGTCATAAGATAATTTTAATTTTTTTGACGAACTAGCCCTACTTGTTTTCCGTAGCAGCTGTACCATTATATTTCCATGAGCAGTGCGCGAGGGTTCCAATTTTTCCATCTCTTATTTTCTTATTTTTAAAAATAGTCCTCCCTAATACCTATGAAGTAGTATGTAATTACAGTTTTCAATTGCATTTTCCTAATGATTACTGATTAGGTAGTTTTCAGGTACTTACTGGCCGTTTACATATTTCTTTGGAGAAATATATTTTCAGGTCCTTTGCCCATCTTTAATTGGGGTTTTTGTTAAGTTGCAGGAGATTTTTTGTTTTGTTTTTAAATATATTCTGCATGTTAACTCTATCAGATAAATGATTTGCAAATATTTTCTCTCATTTTGTGGATTGCCTTATTTGTCACTCTTTTAATAGTGTCCTCTGATGCATAAAAGTTTTAAATATTAAGTCCAGTTTATGTGTTGCCTTTGCTTTTGGTGTTATATCCAAGAAATTATTTTCAAATTCAATTCAGACTTCTGTATCTTTTCTACAAGGAGTTTTATACTTTCAGCTTTCATATTAAGTTCTTTGATAGTTTTGGAGTTTTTTTTTGGGATACGGTATAAGGTATGGACTCAGCTTTGTTCTTTTGTATGTGGATATCTGGTTTGCCCAGCACCATTTATTGAAAAGACTATCCTTTCTCCATTGAATAGTCTTAATACTGTTATTGAAAATCATTTGACCATATGTGTGAGTGTTTATTTCTGGGTTTTGTGTTCTATTTCCTTGGTCTCTATTTCTGTCTTTATACCAGAGCCACACAGTTTTTTTTGTTTTGTTTTGTTTTTGTTTTAGAGACACACAGTTTTGATGACTATAGCTTTGTAGTAAGTTCTGAAATCAGGAGTGTGAGTTATCCAACTTTGTTTTCTAGATTGTTTTGGCTATTTGGGGTCCTTTGAGATACTATATGAATTACAGGGTAGATTTTTTTGTTTTTATAAAAGATACCGTAATTTTGATATGTATTGCATTGAATCTGTAAATGCTTTGAGTAGTGACATCTTAATATTAAGTCTTCCAGTCCATGAACATGAGATGTCTTTCCATTTCTTTGTGTCTTCTGTGAATTTTTTCAGCAGCATTTTGGTAGTTTGCAGTGTATGTCTTTTAGTTCCTTGCTTAAGTTTATTCTTTTTGTTGCTATTGTAAATGGAATTGTTTTCTTAATATCCTTTTTGGATTGTTTATTGTTACTGTATAGAAATGGATTCTTAGTTGATTTTAATTTTCTGTAACTTTGCTGAATTCATTTATTATTTGTGTGTTTGTGTGTCTGTGTGTGTGTGTGGAATTGTTAGGGTTTTCTACGTATAAGATCACTTCATCTTTGAACAAAGGCAGTTTTACTACTTTCTTTCCAATTTGGATGCCTTTATCTTTGTCTTGGCTAATTAGTTTCACTAGAATTTCCAGTGCTATGTAGAGTATAAGTGATTTAAACAGTCATCCTTTATCCTGAGCATAGAGGAAGAGCTTTTGGTCTTTCATCATTGAGTATGTTAGCTGTGGGTTTTTTCATATATGACCTTTATGATGTTGATGTAGTTTTGTTGCTAATTTGTCGGATGTTTCTATCATGGAAGTGTGTTGAATTTTTTCAAATACTTTTTCTAGCAGAAGAGATGATCATGTATTTCTTTTACTTCATTCTATTAATGTGGTGTATTACAATGATCTCTCTTCATATGTTGAACCATCTTTGCATTCTAGGAATAAATTCTGGGTCATGGTGTATAATCTTTTTAAGGTACTGTTGAGTTTTGTTTGCTAGAATTTTGTTGAGGATTTTTGCATCAGTGGTCATAAGGGATATTGGTCTATAGTTTTCTTGAAGTGTCTTTGTCTGGCTTTGGTATCAGAGTAATAATGGCCTTAAAATGAGGTAGGAAGTGTTCCTTTCTATGCTGGTGTTTCGAAAAATTTGAGAAGAATTTATATTTTTTTAAAATGTTTGCTAAAATTCACTGCTGAAATCCTCTAATCATGGGCATTTCATTAATCGGAGATTTTTGATTACTGATTCAGTCTCAATACTAGTTATAGGTCTATCCAGGTTTTTTATTTCTTCACAGTTTAGAGTTTTGGTAGGTTTAGGTTTCTCGAAATTTGTCCATTTTATCTTGATTATCCAGTTTGTTGGTGTAAAATTGTTCATAGTGCTGTCTTACAATCATTCTTATTTCAGTAGACTTGGTAGTAATATTACTGCTTTCATTTCTGATTTTAGTTGTCTTTTCTCTTTTTATTTCTCATTCTACCTAAAAGTTCAACTCTGTTGATCTTTTTGAAGAACCACTTATCAGTTTTGTTGAACTTCTTTTTTATTTCTCAGTTTTCTGTTTTGGTTCTCTTTGCTCTTTATTTCCTTACTTCTGCTGACTTTTGGTTTAGCTTGCTCTTTTTCTAGTTTCTTAAGGTTGTAAAGTTAGTCGTTTTGAGATCTTTTTTTAACATAAGTGTTTACAGCCATAGATTTCCCTCAGTGTGGCTTTTGCTGTATTCTATAAATTTTGATATTCTGTGTTTTCATTTTTACTTCTCTCAATATATTTTCATCTTTTCCTTGTGATTTCTTCTTTGACTTATTGTTTAATACGTGTGTTAATTTCCACGTATTTGTGAATTTTACATTCTCCTTCTTCGATTTCTAGTTTCATACCATCGTGATTGGAAAAGATGCTTTCAGTGATGTCAAACCTCTAAAAAACTTGACACTTGTTTGGACAAGTGTCAAATAAGGACAAGGACACTTGTCCTTATTTATGGTTTGTCCTGGAGAATGTTCTGTGTGCATTTAAGAAAAATGTGTATTCTGCCATTTTGGTCCATTTTTGTCAATAGCATTGTTCTTGTCCTCTTGTTGGGCTTCTCTCTGGTTGTTACATCAGCTATTGGAATGGGGTATTGAAGTCTGATGACTGTAGATCTGTTTCTTTCCGCAATTCTGTCAGTATTTGATTTATATATTTGATGCTTGGTGCATATATATTATTAGTGAAATTACGTTTTTATCATTGTATAATGTCCTTTGTCTCTAGTACAGATTTTGACTTACAATCTTTTCTGACTGCTTTTATTAAAGCTATTCATGATTTCTTATATTTATTACTGGCAGACAGCCTATAATTGGATCTCATTTTTTTCATCCATTCTGTCAATTTATATCTTGTATTTGAAAGCTTAAAGCATTTACATTTAAGGTAAATATCGATACGGAAGGACTTTTGTCATTTCATTATTTCCATGTTTTACAGCTTTTTTTTGATCCTTATTTCTTCTTACTGCCTTCATTTGCATTTAGTTGATTTTTTGTTGTTGTTGTTGTGACATGGTTTGATTCCCTTCTGTTTTCCTTGTGTGCTTTATAGAATTTTTTATTGATTATTATGGAGATTACATATGGCATTGTAAAGTCGTAACAATGCACTTAAAATTGATACCAACTTAACTTGAATGGTGTACAAAAAATCTTTACTGTTCCACCCTTTTCATTTTATGTTACTGCTGTGACATACTACATCCTTATATATTGTGCACCCATTTAACATAGATTTATAATTTTACGTGTCTTTAAATCCCATAGAAAATTAAAAGTAGAGTTATAATCAAAACTGTAATAAGTAATACTTGATTTACATTTTTCATATAAATACGTTTATCTTTACTGAGATCCTTAAAATTTATTGTTAGCTGAAACTCTGAGCTGAGGATTCTACGTAGAGAAGTCTGTTGAACTCTACTGAACTGTTAAGCTGATGTAGTCCTAAATAGTTTTAGATTGTACCTTACCCTTTCATTTCTTTCCACCAGTACTTTTTCTCTCCCTTGCAAACATTGAAATCTCAGCCAGACATGTATTTTATAATTTAATCAAAAAACCCATCTAACACTTGCCAAACAGCCCTAGGGGATTGTTACAACAAGAGAATGCTCATAAAGTAGTGCTCAAGGCTTTGTGTCTGAAGCATAGGGAGAAGGACAGAGGTAAGCGGTCAATAGCCTGGCCTTTTCCCATATGCTATGGATATGGCTACTATTACTTACTGCTCTTGTCACATGAAAAAGAAAGTATAGTGACTCTGTCCACTAGCAAAGATAGGATAGTGTACTAAATCTTGTTCTCCTAGACTTCCTTCTTCTAGGAAATCAAACTGCACTCAGTCTTAAGGCAGAGGAATGTCAGGAATTTGACTTGAGAAAGGAGGAAAGAAAGCCATTCAACACATTCTGCTGTTTTTTTCATTATCCAGCACTAGGTGTAGTTTAATTTTAGATATGCGGCTTAGGCTCTTTAGTTCTTAGCCAGATGTCCCACTGCCGATTTACTGTTGTGTAATATTTCTTGTAAAGTTTGTCAGTG